GGAAGTGAGCCTATGATTAATATGGAAAGCAGTATCCTCATGATATGGTTGCTTAATCGAGTTTAATATATCAAAATTTTATATAATTACAAATTACCTCTTAACACAACTATGACACACAAAAAAACGGATACATTGCTGGTTTGCCTTGGTAGTCTACTTCTGTATGATGCCTTTATCTCACAGAAAATATTATATGATTTTTATTTGTTGCTAATGGGCTCAATACTATACGAGCCATGAATGTGTTGGCTTAGACAATTTTTGTCTTCAGAGTAATGGATACAAGTGTCCTGCAGGGGTATGTTGAATTTTTTTCTAGGGTTTTATATGTATATGCAAGTATAGTCAAGAAGCATCACCTTTTCTAACTGTTGTAAGCTTATTAAGAATTTGATTTACTTTTGAGTTAGTGAAATTTATTTATTTTATGTTTTACTATATATATGTTTAGGTCTATCTATGGCACAGGGGCACAGGGGAGCTTATCGAATCATTACCAGGTCATTCCGGAGCGGTTAATTGTGTGAGCTGGAACCCGGCAAACCCTCACATGTTGGCATCGGCTAGTGATGATCGTACGATACTGATATGGGGATTGAGTAATCTAAGCACAAGCATGAAACAGAAAGAACCCCACAGTAATGGCATCCATTATTGCAATGGAGGAACCTGAGACTGAAATGCATGGAGTCTGCAGCCACTGATACCTCTGATATAATTGGTTTCATGTAAATACTTTTTACCTTGTTGAAAGCTTGGCATTCATATAAAAGAAAAAAGATTGTCAACAATGCATCAACTTTCTGATAATAAATTTACTGTTTTTCTCTTTTTACCATTCAATTTTATTACCTTTCACAGTTATGGGTGAAATTTTGGAGCAAGCTTGCATTAATGTTTGCATTTGCTTTGAACCCTTTATAGTTAGGATCTTGAGAGAGTTTTTTCCGAAGAAAAATCTTGAATATCTTTTCTCGGAAAAACACTATAATTTAACATGACTTTTGACAGTCTCATAAGATCTACTAGAGTTAAATTTATTGTTAGCTGACCATATTGGTAGTCATAATGATCCTATACTTCGTTGTCGATGATGTTGTCCATGAAAAAGATGTAGGATGTCACCTCATTTCCTACCCAGACATGCAATCGTTCGAACGCTATTAGATTTAGAAACATGGATTCCGTGCATCATCTACGATGATGACGGGAAGCTTAAGGACCCCTCCGCGGAACGTAATGTCCTTGAGGCTGACAGTCTTGCTTTTCTTGAACCGGATTCCTGCTTCGTGTAGCTCCATCGCGGACCTAATGATGTCGTCGCCATCTTCGTGGTCCGGGACACACAGTTTGCGGCGATGTTTCCTTTGCCGTCGACGACCATCGGGTACATCCGGAAGCAAGCTCTTTCGGTACACTTCCAAGACGTGCAAGCAAGTCCCAAAGCATGATAAGGGCGCATTGGGAGATCAAAACTTGAGCACAAGAGTGTTGATGTACTCTTTATTCTGCATCAATTTAAAACTTACAAAAACAACAAAAACAAAAGCTAATACGAAAAATAGAGACGGCAATGGTTGGATTGGGTCGGGTTTCTAGTTGATCTAATCTGAAAAATATATATTTTTCACTTGAACTTGATCCAGCCTGGAAAATATATACCTTCCACCTAATTCGATCAAACTTGAAAAATATATATCCTCCATCCGAATCTGACCCAATCAATTTTTTTAGAGTATAAATCCGACCCAATCCGACTCGACTTAACATAAAATAAATACCTAATTAAAAAACAACTATAGAGAAATGATATTATAGCAATTATCCATAAATTCATAGGAGAAATTACCCTATTATCCCCGGACCGGAGGTTTTTCACCCTCCAACCGTACTTGACTCGACCTAATCTTATAAAAAACTCAACCCGAATCTGTTTTTTTTAAAAGCACAACTCGAAACCTGTCGGTTTCGAATTAAATTGTCATCCCTATATCACAGGGACAGACCCGAGATTTTATATTAATTTAAAATTTTTAGATGACGATTGTCTCGACCGTCTCATCAGTCCATCCCGAGTGTCGAAAGACGAGACATTACTTTGGTTCCATTGCTTTCAACAGCAACTAAGGTGTAAAGAACTTGCATTGGCAATTGATTTTCAGGCATCAGCATATCCCGTTTGATAAACGGATGAATATGTATCTTTCAATGATTGCTGAAGATCGGATCATTCGGAGCACAATCTTCCATCGTATGATTAACAGAACATAAAATTTCCTGCATGAAACATCCATCAAGGATCATCAGCTGCAGGAACTTGTCTCGTAACAATCTTTCAATCTCTAGCCAAGGCTTCGACGAACAAGTCCAGAGACTTGTTCGATCGCCTCATGAAATGGAGGAGCGCTCGTTGTTTGTGCTCCTCCATCGGCTTCAGGTGGTCTCCTCCGTGGTGGTGAGGCCCGAAAGAGACCACCTAAGGCACATATGCTTTCTTGTTTAGGTCTGTGAAACTCGTCGGTATCTAATATATCGATCGCTCGGTCTCGGGATCCACCAGCCTTTGAACTTCTCCATCGACTTCAACAACCCAATCCAATTGCTCCATTTCTGTACAATGCTCTACAGAAGCACACACGTGTCCACTACAACTGCAACCAGTTTAGAGGAACCAACGTATGATTTTATGATAATTTAAAATTCTGATAGACATTTAACTGCGGTCCATCTCTTTTATGTTTAAAGAAAAGCATATTGTTCTTATCTCAGGTATCAAGGAATGCAAAATATTATAATAAATAAATGAAAAAGAGCACAAAAACAGCTTCAGAAGGAAAATATCAGCGTCTGTAGTGTGTATATATATATACTATACAAATAATATCCTTTGTTTTTGGTCTGACTGAATTTAGTCACTAATTTAAAAATTAAGGTCCATAACATTATTGATTCGTTTGATTTTAGTCCCTAACGTTATTGATCCGTTCAATTTTAGTCTCTCAGTCCTTAACTCCCATTCGATTTTAGTTTATCCATATTTGTTAAGGGTTAACGGCAGGAAGACGTAAATCGAACAGACTGATAATGTTAGGAACTATTTACCCTTAATTTTTAAATTAGTTGTCAAAATCGGACATACCATAAACAAAAGAAACTATTCACATAGTTTATCCATCCACACACACACACATATATATATATATATATATATATATATATATATATATATAATTTGATTATCTATTATCCGAATTCATATTAATTAGACAGATTATAAAAAAAGAGATCCGAATTTTGGTTATCCAAATGAGTGGACTTGGATTCGGATACTAATATATAAGGGTAAATTACAAAATTCATAACTTAACTTTAGTCTCTTTTCTATTTCATCCACTGTACTTTAAATCTTTTTAATTTCCTCATTGAACTTAATACAAGTTTTTTTGTCACTCGACAATTATATAGATGCAAAACGATATCGTTTTGGTGGATTTTTTTAAAATGACATCATTTTTAACGCCGTTAAGTATTTAACGACATAACGAACAAAATAGAAGAGTGAGTAAAATTTAGTGACAAAAAAACCAAAGTATTAAGTTCAGTGAGGAAATTGAAAACTTTAAAGTTTGTAAGCAAAATATAGAGAGAGGAAATTTAACTGATGAAATTCGTAATTTACCCAATATATAATTAAAATCTTAAATCTAAATTTTATGAATTCTAACATATAATAATATTTAATTGGAATTTGGATTTTGATAATTAGAATCATATAATTTATAGATAAAAATTGAATTCTAATCTTTGATGAGTATGCCAACTCTTATTTGCGTTTAAAACTCATTTTTTTCGGGTAAAATACACAAATGGTCTCTAATTATAGGATATTATTTTATTAAGTTCTCAACTATTAAAAATTATAAAATGATCCTTTAATTATAGAACATGCTTTGTTGAGTTCCCAACTATTAAAAGTTACAAAATGATCATATGACTATTCATATGCTCCAAACACGTCATTTTCTATTAAAAAGTTGACGACAATATGAGTTGGACGTTAACTTGCTGACTGTAATATGATAAAATATGATCACAAATCTCAAATGACTATTATATCTCATTCGATAGATTAACGTCCAGCTTATGTTGTCATTATTTTTTTAATGAAAAAAGAGAAGTTTGAAACATATAAGTAGTTTACTGACAAATTTATAACTTTTAATAGTCAAAGGAGCTTAAAAAGTAACTCCATATAGTCGAGAGACCATTTTATAACTTTCAATAGTTGGGGAATCAACAAAATAACACCATATAATCAGAGACTATTTTTGTAGTTTACCATTTTCTCTTTTTTGAATAATCTAGAATGATTACAAGATAACATATGTTAATGATTTTTCTTAACAATTAACAAAACACACTTTTATTCTTTCATGTGGACAAAAAAAGGGGTAATTACGCATTTAATATCTAAACGATCAGTTTTAATCTATTTTAATACCTAAACTTCAATTTTTTTAAAATCATACCTAACATTTAGTTTTTGTTTCATTTTAGTACCCCCAATGTTCAAAACTTAACGCGTTTAGTACCTGAATAATAAATTTTGGTCCATTTTAGTACCTAAACTTTCAATTTTTTCAAAATTTAAAGTTAAATTTTAAAATGAGTACTAAAATGAAACAAAAAAAATAAACTTTAGGTATGATTTTGAAAAAATCAAAAGTTTAGGTACTAAAATAGACCAAAACTAATAATTTAAATACTAAATGTGTAATTTACCCGTTAATTAATTATGTACGTGTAACTTTTTTTAAAAACATTAACCATAATTAATGGACCACAAGTGTAGTTTAACCTTTTTTTTCCCCAAAATCAACCCATGTGTTTTTTTTACCACCGGAAATGAAATGTTTTAGGCTTGACTCAGTCAGACTCGGACTCGGACTCAACTGATATTGAATTCAAGATTGGTTCTTCATTTTCCCCTTTTGTTTTGACATCACGAGATCCCCTCTTTTGTTCCTTTAATGTCATCTTCCACGTATCTCTCATCTTCATAATCTCTTCATTCGTGTTATGGTTTTAGTACAGCTAATCTTAATATAGCCGCTGCCGTAACCCCATTAGTGTTGAATTAAACCACCACACAATCAAAGAGAGGGAGAAGAAGAAGAAGATAACCCCATACATATATATATATACTCTCTTTACTACTCCCTATCTTAGCTCTATATAAATTGAAAACCCAGATTTCCTGCAAATGTCTTCCCATTCAGAACGACCGAGTTTCGACAGGGAAATGAACAAGCCCGATTTCAAAGAACTCGATCTGATTGGTTCGCCCGTCTCTCCGTTGCACCGTCACAACAATGGCGGAGGCGCCGCCGCCACGACTACGTCGTCCGGTGGTAATAGCTCCAACTCGTCGACTGGTTCTGTTTCGAGTAAGAACAGTAACAGCACGGGTACTCATTTCTCCGGGGAGTTATTGGAGAAAAGTGCGGGTTTACCCGGATCTGCTCCGACGAACCGGATTATTAGACCGGGTCATAGGAGATCCGTTTCTGCTGGACTCCCTTTGATTTACTCTGGTTCAAGCTTTACTGGAGGAACTTCGTCTTTTTCGTCTTCGTCTTCATCTGCTTCTTCCAATCCAAGCACGATTTTACCCAGTGGTAACATTTGTCCGTCTTGGAAAATCGTTAAAACCATGGGGTTACGTACCTCAAACAAGACCGATACGCTTGGTGGCGGCAAAGGAAACTACGGGCACGGCAGCATAATTCGAGGTGGCGGCGGTGCTAAATCTGGGCCGGCTACTGCTAATCCCGAGGAAATGAAGAGAGCTGGCAATGAGATGTATAAAAGAGGAAATTTTTCCGAGGCATTGGCATTGTATGATAAGGCTATATCCATTTCACCGGAAAACTCCGCCTACCGAAGTAACAGGGCGGCGGCGTTAGCGGCAGCGGGAAGGTTGGGAGAGGCCGTCAGGGAGTGTGAGGAAGCTGTTAGATTAGACCCTGGTTATGGCAGAGCTCATCAGAGGTTGTCTTCCCTTTATCTTAGGTGAGTGAGTAAATCTTCTTATTATTTAATTCACCATTGTTGTTTTTTTGTTCATCTTCTTGATTAATGTGATTGGTGGTGCTTTAGTCTCATCAGTGTTGCTGAGGATCGGATCTCTTCGTTTTCTGTGTGCTTTTCTCTCTCTCTTTGTATCATTGGTTCTTCTTCTTCTTCATGCTCTCATGGGTTGTGTGATTTTCTATATCCATTTTCGCTTTGAAAATTGCTTTGTCTCTTTGTTTATAGCTTGTGAAAGTGTGCCTTTCATGTACATAATTGATTGTTTATGATTCCTTTTACATAAAAATGGATATGCCCTTGGATTGAAGTTCAAACTGGCAATTGATTGTTCTGGAAGAAAGGTTTTTGGACAGAAATTAACAATCCTCAAATTTCTTACTCCAGGTTAGGTTTACCGGATAATGCCAGACACCACCTTTGTTTACCGGGGCAACATTCGGATCCAGCCGAGTTGCAGAAGTTGCAGCTTTTGGAAATTCATATTAATCGATGTGCGGATGCACGGAAGATTGGTGATTGGAAGACTGCGGTAAGAGAAATCGATGCAGCAATAGCTGTTGGCGCAGACTCGTCGACCAAGGTACAACTGCCTTCCCTCGATTAGTCGATTATATGTTTGCTCTACCTAGCTGTTTATAGAATTCAACTGCAGAATATCTGAGAATGTTGAAATGAATTTGCAGCTCATTGCTTGTAAAGCAGAAGCCCTTTTGAAGCTCCACCAAATTGAGGAGTCAGATTACTGCCTATCAAACATCTCAAAACCGGAGCATTATACTCCCTCCTTGCAGATTAAGTACTTTGGTATGGTGGCCGAAGCTTATGTCCTCTTTGTTCAGGCCCAAGTTGAGATGGCATTGGGAAGGTGACCTTTGCGAGATGAAATTACCATTTACTGCTTGGTATCGTTGTTAGGGTTGAGTGAAAATGGATTATAGATTTCTTGCAGATTCGAAAATGCAGTTTCAGCTGTGGAGAAGGCTAGACGTATCGATTACAGCAATGCTGAAATTGCAATGGTTCTAAATAATGTGAAAATGGTAGCGAGAGAACGGACTCACGGCAATGAATTATTCAATGCCGGAAGATACGCTCAAGCCTGCTCTGCTTACGGGGAAGGACTCAGATGTGATAGCTCTAACTCGGTTCTATACTGCAATAGAGCAGTTTGCTGGTCTAAACTTGGACTTTGGGAGAAATCCGTAGAGGACTGCAACCAGGCTCTAAAGATCCAACCAAATTACAAAAAGGCCTTACTTCGAAGGGCTGCCTCGAATGGAAAGGTGAAATCACATTTTTCATGGTTTCTTTTTGGTGCATGTGTTTTCAAGTATCATTTATTGTTGATTAGGAACTGATATATGAGGATATGTTGTTATGGGTTTTTAGCTTGGACGATGGGCAGATGCAGTGAGAGATTATGAGCTCTTGAGAAAGGAACTTCCCGGAGACATTGAAGTTGCCGAGTCTCTGCATAACGCACAAGTTGCGTTGAAGAAATCTCGTGGGGTGGATATTCATAAAACGAAAATAAGCGGCGAAGTAGAGGAAATTTCTAGCCTAGAGAGATTTAAAATCGCCATATCGTCTCCTGGTAAGTTTGAAGCTTACATGTGGATCTCTTTTTCTCTCAACTTGGGTCTTGATTTTCTTGTCTGATTTACAAGTTCAAAATTTCAGGCATATCAATGGTCCACTTTAAAGTGGCATCCAATGAACAATGTGAAGAACTAACTCCATTCGTTAATTTGCTTTGCGTTCGGTATCCATCAATTCATTTTTACAAGGTAGGCTTTCGGGTGTTCTTAACTTTGATGAACTCATTTCGTTCGCGTCCATAGCACCCATACTGATGTAAAAAACACGAAATGATGTGAAAGCAACGATGTTTAAGAATTAACATAGGATCATCGTTTTGTGATTGAAGGTCGATGCAGAGGAAAGCTTAGTGGTGGCAAAAGCGGAGGGTATAAGAACAGTCCCGACTTTTAAGATTTATAAGAATGGAGACAAAGTGAAGGAGATGATCAGCCCTACCCATCAGATTCTGGAGGACTCAGTGAGGAACTATATCCTATAGAAAAAAGAGAGGTAAAAATAGTATGGAATTTGCTTAATCTTTGTCACAAACAGCATTTGACGATAATTGTCCAAAGTATTTATTCATTGTCATAGCTTGATTCATACTAGGATCAACAGTTTTACATGTGACATGAATCAAACTACATAATTGTTTCATAGAACTCCATCGAGGCCGGAAAAAAGCCTCGAGACTTGAGAGAAAATAGCTTCTTAGTTTTACATTTATGAAATTGCTGAAGATTTTTCTATATCTTTGCCTGTTTATTTTCCGGCGAAACTATGGTATCTTCAATGTCTGTTTTACGAACCGAGAACCGAGAAATGAGCTCACTACCACTAGTGTGCCCATGTCTCCCTGTGAGAAGAAAAGGTTGGATAAAGTGTGGGAATATAATTATTTTGTCTCTCCAGCTGGATGGCTGGAAAGAAGCCTAAATTATTAACGTTTCATTCTAAAAAATCGTACATCATTCATCTGATTTGGCTCAACCTTCTCTTTTTGACTGTTTTCTTTTAGAAAGCTTTGGTAGGTTTAAAGCTGCACCACATTACTTTATCGAGTAACGATCTGCTATAATTTATATGTACAACTAAAGCCCCCCCCCCATATATATATACATAGGGTCACTTGATCCTATGCTCGAGCTCGAGCGTCTTAAATCTGTCAAATCTAATAAACTCTCTAAGCTCTTAAAAACGTTAGATTTCTTTTGTTTAATTTCAATGTTTTGAAGTGAAAACGTTTGTGTCGATCTTATTGGATGACAGGTGATAATTGATTGTTGACCGCCACTGAAAAAGTGTGATATCAAAAACCAAATTATATATTATTTTAGTAGTAAAATCGATACACTCTTAAAGTTCGTTCAATGTCATTTTAGATATTAATACTAGTATCAAATAATTTCATTTTATCTATGTTATCACACAATTTGGATTTTAACGGCCAAGTGATATAACTGGAGTTAAAACCTAATAACTGAAAAAATTAAAAGTTAAGTGATATAAATGATACACTACTTAAAGTTTAGATATCTCAGCGATATCCTATATGATTTACCCTAATAATAATGATAATAAAAAGGGTTTACTTGAAGCAAATACAACCTTAGAAAGGCACAACCGTTATATACGATAGGAATATAGAGAAAAACAACAATCATCCGCAAGTTGGGGGCTATGTTTAGTTTTAACCAGTGTTTTGCATGCCAGCAGCAATACCCTTCATGGTCAATATAAGGGTGTCTTCCGGACCAGGAGCATACTCGCTTGTCGGGTTGAGTTTGTATTCCTTGGACAAGTGCGGCCTTACCTTCACATGATAATATGGGTCTCGGATCCTTTTCAAAGTGTATGCTTGGCATACATTGAGGGTCGTGATGTAAGCATCATGAAGTCGGAGCCTCTGCTTCAGGTACGGGTCGCCTTCGAGAAGATCTCGATGTCCGGCAACCTACAAAAGAAGGTGAAATTGTTGCTAGGATTCATATAAATAGAGCTTTATACTAGAATCACTGCATTGTCTTCCCATTTGTATTACCTGGAGAACAAGACGCTTGGTTTCTTCATAGTTGGTTCTCAATTTCTCTCCAAAGGGCAAGTGCTCTTTCGATACAAGTAGCTTGTCATACAAGGCAGCAATACCATGGTCTCCCTTGGCAAACACCATTTCGATTAAGTCCATTGTGACCCTAAAGAAAGGTCATTGGTTGTACATGTCTCGGAGCATCTGGAGATTCTTCGTGTCCTTCTCGATGACGTGCTTAAAAGCTGCCCCAAAGCCAAGCCACACCGGTAAATGAAACCTTGTTTGAGTCCAGGCAAAGATCCATGGGATTGCACGGAGTGATTCGATGCCTCCACTTGGCTTTCTTTTCGATGGACGACTTCCGATATTCATCCGACCATACTCCAATTCCGGTGTTGCCTTCAACAGGTTAATTCAGATTGTTACTTTTAAGTATTAAGATATGTAGTAAATATTATGAAGATTTCAATTGAAGTACCGAGAAGGTATTATATCGGTGAAATACTTACTAGGCGGAAGTATTCAACAAAACGAGGTTCCTGGAAGACTACAGAACGGTATTCCTTCGTTGCAACTAGTGCCATTTCATCCATGAGTTCACGCCATTCTGGATTTGGTGATACAGGGGGATGCATTCCATGCTCAGCAGTAAAACGCTGAAGCGTCCTGAAGCACAAGTGCTCCTCTCCGAAGGATTGTTCGATAACTTCACCTTGAACTGTTACTCGAAGTGAACTGTGAATTGTATCAGGTGGTTGAGATAATATAGCAAGATGAGTCGGTCCCCCTTCTCTCCCAACAGTCCCTCCTCGGCCATGGAACATCGTAAGCTTAACACCGTACTGCTTTGCAACCTTTACAAGTTCCTCTTTCGCCTTGTATAGCTGCCAAGCTGCAGAGAGGCGGCCAGCATCTTTTCCAGAATCCGAGTAACCTATCATCACTTCCTGTTTCCCGTTGATCCGATTTCTGTACCAATCTATTGAGAAGAGGCGAGCCACAGCAGCAGGTGCAGCTTCAAGATCAGCGAGTTTTTCAAACAACGGCACCACCCTTAATGGTTGCTTTAGTAAAAGCTCAACAGCAAGCACATCAAATGGGGCTGTTGCCATCGAGATAATATAGGCACCAAAGCTGTCTGCAGGCTGTTCGGAAATGACATGAAAAGTGTCCAACACATCGGCGACTTCTTCTGATTTGGGAAGATCAGGGCCTAATAGAGGACGCTTGCCTCTGAGTTCAGATAAGAGCCATTCCTGTCGGCGCTCTTCAGGCCATTCTCGATAAGATCCAATATCTAGGTGCTTTGTGATAGCATCGAGGACATCAGTATGCCTGTCAGATTCCTGTCGGATATCTAGTCTCACAAGTGAAAGCCCAAAGGTAGAAACTTACCGTAAGAAATCAAGAAGGCTTCCATCTGCAATTGGCCGATAACCACAAGCACAGAGTGAGCTATAGCAGAGTTCAAGAGGCTCCAGAAACCACGGTATAGAAAAATGGTAAGAATACGCAACACTTGGAAATCAACTAATTCAGCTGTAACTCAGAAAGTTCATCAGATGAAGTTTTAAAGTACAGACCTGCTCCACATTGGTAAACGCTGCTTCTTCGGGAATGTCGGAAAACCCGTTAACCCACAGGTGACGAGCTCGTTCTCTTGTATTGTACAGCTTATCTCTCACATCACCGAGAATATCACGAGAGGCTCATTTGGAGGAATCTGTTTCCAGAATTCTGCTCTTAATTTTTTTTAACAATGAACAACACATGGATCTAGAACTTGTACCCAAACAATATTTCAATCTTATGGAGCATGCGTTAAGATCAATGTTACATACCTATGTAATGTTTTGCATCTTTTTTCGAGGACCTATGAAGTTTATCTGCACGAACACGAAGTTCATCGCTGCAGCGCCACATTGATAACTGAAAATAAACCGGAGCAAAAAAGAAAGAAGATGAATCAAAATCTTAACAATAAACCATGATCTAACTCTATTTGGAGGAAAAAGTGTCTGGGGCTGGGAAGTTATCATTTTTACACCTCAAACATAAGATCCTCTATTTGGGAGAAGTACATGTTAGCCGCCATCATTCTAGCCAACAAGCATACGTCTCTCGTAACTTCCGGAGTTACTCTGGGGTTTCCTGCAGTCCACAACGAATAGTATCTCCGGTTATCAGTCTCGGTATATGAAATAAGGTAAGCATTTCTGCATTTCAACTCGATTAATGAGGAAGACATTCTTCAGTTAAATATATACGGAAAAAACATACCATCACGATCCCCTCCCATCCATGAAGAGAATTGAATAAGAGGGGCGTTGTAGGGAACACGTTCATTTATCCCGAGGTTCTTCAAAGCTGTGTAAACCGGACGCAAGAATTTCGGTACACCTTTCCAGATTGTCTCATGGAAGTAGCTCATTTCAGCTCTCATCCATCTTGTGGGATGGGAGGATTCCTACGGATCTCATCCGTACGAAAAGCCGCTTGAATCTATATGAACATAAAAAGAGAGAGTTGTGAACTCGATTAGGTTCACATTCTGGAATATAAGCCTCAGTTCCCTGCACGACAAGTACAAAATCCAAAACTCGAGCATATATGTATATAGGACCTATACAAAATACTTTTATTAGATTAATCGAGACATACAAATTTTATATCTAAATATAATTAAGAAGTATCGTAAGTTATTCACATTAATATATACATTTAATCATATCTCAATTAATATTTAAACATTGATTTATATATTAACTTATTATACGATGCACACAAATCTACTAATAAGCTTAAATTTTGGAGCCTAAATTTTTGACAAGATGATATAATTTTCCTTTTAAAATAGTTATATGAATATATATATATATATATATATATTAGGGGGAAAGAAGAAATAGTTGGATATGGATGGTTGAGGTAGGGAAGTAGTGTGGGACTGATATATATAGCTACTGAAAGAAGAAATAGTTGGATAAGTGGTTTAACGAAGAAACAACAATCCCCCGGTTAACACCAAAGCTCACACCAGCTTCTCGCAACAACGAAATGTTGCTCAAATAAGGAAGAGTCAACACCAACACAATGACCGGACATGCCCACAATATCATATTCTTGATAGTCTCAATACCAAGAAATTTCATTTAACACTTAAACTATCAATTTTGATCCGTTTTAGTACCTAAAATTTTAATTTTTTTAAATCATACCTAACATCTAATTTTTATTTCATTTTAGTACTCGCCATTAAAAACTTAACATATTTAGTACATAAACTATCGATTTTGGTACATAAACTTAATATTTTAAAAAAACGTAACGTTAAATTTTGAACAAGATACTAAAATAAAACAAAAACTAAATTTTAGGTATGATTTTGAAAAAAATAAAAAAAAATTGATCGACAATCAAAGATTTTATTAATAAAAATCCACTTGGTAGTATGCTTCATTAAAAACCCTCCTACACCTAATTGGGGGAAAGAGTACATACCACCAAGGACAACATAAGGTAATCAACCTACAATACCAAAGAAAAACGACCGCAAAGTGAGTACAACCCAAAAGCAACATCGATACAACATAACAAACCACCCCAAAAAGAACAAAAACGACCCAACAAAGCAATAACAATGCACACACGAGAAGATCACCAACACGCCTTGCAAACCTCAAACAATAAGACCCCGATCCAACATCTATTGAGAAGG